AAAACGCAATTCTTTCTCCTCGTGTTTTGAGTTTGAGAAATCATTCAAAAATTTTGTTGTTTAGAAACTCTCCAAATAATTTGCTCAATGACTTCCACCAACTTCATTGGAAATAAGGGATTTAGTTGAAGCTGAACTAATTTTGGTGGCTGGTTTGTTGGCTTTTTCATGGCTTAAATTTGACCTGTCCACCCCTCTCTCTTCTCTCTCTCTCTCTACTCCGTTTGCTGGGGAAGGTATCATGATCTTCTGTATTCATTTTTTTAGGTCTGTCACTTGTGCATATTCCTCCTAGATCTTTTATCCTTTTACTTTGAATGTAGGCTATATATATTAAAATATACTGACTTTCTATGAGGCCCGGGGGTGCGGTTTTTATAAAAAATGCACAGGGTACACAGTCGAACCAGATTCGGTCTATTCCACGGAACGATTATAAAAGAATTGGCCATCTAAGAAGTTTTGTTATTTGTGTGGGCGTTTTATACGTTATGGTACCTCAAGTCCCACACGATGTTAGTCGCACATGGAATGAGAAAACGTGCAGTTTGGTGTCCTGCAGGGATCCAGTTAAACGTCAGAAGATGCGGCCCGCGCTATAGCTTTATGACGCTTTAAAAAGCGTCGCTAATTTAGGTCATAGGGCGGCGCCGCCCGAATGTCCCTGTCCTCTAAATACCGGTAATAGATTGTACGTCACTGTATGGTTTAGGGGGCGGCGGTTTTGGAAACAGGAGGCCTGTGGTCGAAAAGATCAATTTTATTATGCATTTTCAAATATGGGCCGTTGGGTAAGGATATAGTGACGTTTAGAAAAACGCCTGCCATAGCCTTTTCAACAAAGTAACCCATTTAGTACAGTTCACCTTTCACTTGACAAAAGGTTCTATCACACATAATCTCTGCATCTCATAGAACATTTAGAGAAAAATTGGCTTCCTAGTTTTTCGCAAACTGATTTTTTCTGCATGTACCAAGCTAAAATTTAACTGGCACTAGATTTCTATAAAGTGTCCTAACATGGACATGAAAGAGTTGAAATTTAGCAGGCATCTTCAAATCTTAATTGCTTTTCAATCAGCAAGAAATCACTCTAAAAGTAAAATGAGTTACAAAAGCGATTGTAAGTGAATCTATCCTTGCAGCATAGTTGGTACAGTACTTTAATGAATGTAAAAATGACAATCATTTCAGATTCTTCTGAGACACTTATTAATATCAATAAGATGTGATACAGGTACAATTACAGAATATATCTAGACACAATATATTGGAAATCAGTGAGGATTTATTTACAAAGTCAGCAGGCTTGAAAACTCACGCAGAAAGCAGAGAAGACATCTATATTCCTAATGACACAATACCGATAGTAGCAAAAGCTTGGCCCAGTTTATAAACAAATTTTTTTATTTTTTTCTGACGAGGCAAACTTTGCCAATCTGTCCTGCAAAAAGTCACAGCCAGGACCAAATTAGAAAGGTTAATATCAGTACAATAGATTAATACATTAGATTAGAATGGAAAACATTTGATTAAATTAACTTAATGCATACAAGTGCATTCCCCTAATCAGCAATGACGATGTTAACATTATCTTGTGAACTTCGGTCCTGTAATATACACAAATCACAATTTAATTTTAAGTTACTAATTCTCCGTCCAGTTTAATTATTATTTCTATTATCAAACAAAGTTCTTATTTTGCTATTTTATAATTTAATATCATATAGAATTGACAGTTTATCCCACTTTTACATTAGGCCAAGGGTATTATATCCCATGATGATGAGTCTTCGATCTAATTTGGATTTTGATGAGTCTTCAATCCATCTTATCGGTCTGATTGGTCACTGCCTTGATGATGATGATAAAAGACCCATTGCAGATTTATTACATTTTCACCTTACTTTTGCTAAAAAAATAATGAGCATCATGCCCCTCAATGATGAATTTAAACATTAAATTCAATATACTTAAGGGTGATACCAAAAAGCTTCAATGTGCAAACAAAAGAAAACATAACATCATAAAAAAATTCCCTCCATAGAACCCAACTGAACTTTTTAAATAACAAAAAGCATACCAACTGATCCTCTTCCTGGAGTTCGTGCTGCTATATATGCAAAGCCCACATCTGGAAACAAGCCAATCCCATTTTCTGGCATAGCAAGCACAGTCCTCTGAAAGAAACTCAAACAAGTAAAAATTAATAACTTAAATAGTGTTTTTTTATCTAAATATATATATATATATATATATATATATATATGTGCTAGAAAAGGCAACCAGACCTCAGTGATAAGCTGGTAGCGACCACGACCAGATAGGCCAATTCCAAATCCCATTGTTATGTTGTCCATGAAGCTTATATATGGCTTTTGTACTCAGAAATTTTACATATTGAAGAATATTCTGCAGTAAATACATGCAAAAGGTTGGCATGATAAGCACTTATAATTTTTTTCTAATATAATAGACATATAAATCTACTAAATGAAGAAGCAATATTGCACAATGTGTGATGCAGATGAAATCTAAGTTAAAATTGTTATTTGATCAATCTAATGAACAAGGATGTTCACAGCTTAACTGGCACAAATTATGGTGCATAATATGATTACCCCCAGTATTTTGTCTCAAAAATGCATACCACCCCTCTCAACTTTAAAACACTACAACCCCCCCTACTCTAGACTAAAGTGAATGTTAGTTTCTCTATCCAATTGCTGGAATTACTTTTATACCCTTAAAAGTGATTGAAATATATTTGATGGTGCTCTGCAAATTTGCAAGACTGTTATTACTGTACCTAAATTCAATAAAAACCATGATTTGTTTGAGAAGGTAATGCTTGAACTTGCTCTCGACAAGGATAATCACAAGGGAAGGATGCAACGCCATAGCCGAGTTCACTGTCTCAGGTTAACCCCCACCACACCTTACCGGTCCCACTCCGCAGCCCCTCTGCTATTTGAAGAACACAACTCTTGAGGATTTTGCACTTCAACATCAAAGTCATACCAGGATAATTGCTGAGTAAATATGTCCCTCTAAAATTCTTAATTTACCACAAAAATGAGCATGGGTGATGTAGAACAAGTAGCCGAAAACTTCTTGGAACAATTGGACCGACAAAAGGCAAGAAAAAAGATGTAGAACAAAATTCTATAATTTTTAAATTTCTTAATTTTATTATTTAGAA